TTAAAACATGTGAAATGGGGGGAATGGTGGGGTGGGGTGGGGGCTTGCCGTTAGGAAGTACTTTTGTTGCACACCCGGATATGGTGCTGCCTGCGTTGACCCCGATACAAAGTGCCCCACCAACGCCGAGGTCAACATCCAAGCCGTCGCTGCCCGCCCGAAGATGCAAGGGGGGGGGAATTAAGTCACCCCTGAAAAGACGGCCTAGCCATTTTTCCGGGGCTCAAAAAAAAATAAGACCCGGCCTTATTATATGAGAAACACGGTAGTATAATAGAAGAATTTGTCTGCAGTGCTCTGTTTTAGGCAGTCTATAGTAAATAAACTATACAAATCATAGTTGGCACAAATAGAAGTATAAGAAATTAATTCAAATTAATAAGTCATGTAGTACAGCAAAGTGAGTAATATTAATTGATCTCAGGTTCGACATTTAGCACAAAGTCAATCCCAAATTTGAATTCAATGTAACCGTTGCTGTGAAAATATTTTTAATTTCTAAGTAGGCAGTTCACAATTTGCAAAATAAACATAAGACTGTGATCCAGATTAAAGGAATATATTTGGAACAATTCTAGGGAATTAGGCTATATAAACTTATTTCCTTACTAAGACATTTTATGAAGTTCTGCTCTGTGTCAAATACATATTGGGAAAAATTAGCATTATTTACATATGGCATTAAGGTAATGACAAGTTTGATTTTATCTAAATAAGACATATTTCATAAGTATGGATATTTAGTTCACAAAATGGCTTTTGTATGTAGAAAAATCAAGAGGAAAAAAGAAATTGGACTGGGTTGAATTTCTTGGGAGTTTTCTGATACTGCTGAATTATATTGGACCTGGCCCACAAAAGCTTTCATTCACTAACTGTATATTTAACTTTTGGACCTAAAAAAATCAGAACCTGGAATGATTTTTATTAAAAAATAATAATTGCAACTTTGCATATTTTCAAGATTTTGAGCTGGAAATCATATTTAAATGGGGTCAATGCTCAAATATTATGATAGGTATAAGAGTTCCACTGAACTAAACCTAAATCCCAGTGAATTTCACAGATACCTTTCTGCAATTTTCTTGGCAACTGTACAGAAGAGGTTTACCATTGTCTTCCTCCAAGATGTTTTTTGACCTCTGAATCCAGCCTATATCCCTGATACACCATAGAGGTCTTTTATCTAGTACTAACAAGTATTAATAGGTAAGTGATAGACATGATTCTGCTTAGTTTCTGAAGCTGGACAAAATGAACTAGGGTACTTGCATAAGTATTTTCGCAAATCACAGAGCATATTATACCAACAGCAACAATGCTGTTGCAAATGGTATGTCTCAATACAGGATTGCATAATTATTTCAGTACATAACATGTGAAATTCAATGAGATTTAGGTTTAGCTCAAAGGAAACTTTTTGTAACAACACTATGTATGTATGTATGTATGTATGTATGTATGTATGTATGTATGTATGTATGTATGTTTTAGTTAAAATACATACATACATACATACATACATACATACATACATACATACATATATATATATATATAAATGCTGATTGCATTATTCCATATTGGGGTAAGCAACGTTATGTAAAGAAAGTAAAAAACAGAAAGTCCCAAAATGTCAAGCCATACGATAGAAAAAGAAAACATAATTAAATCCAGTTTACACCAACAGTTCAACATAGCTCTCCCCATACCTTCTATTCTTGCAAAACATTCTTACTCTGATCATGTCTGCACCCTCTATCATTATGTGCCTTTGATAGTTTTATTAGATTTATATGCCACCGGAATCCCAGTGATTCTAGGCTGTTTACAAATTGTTAAATCATTAAAAACGAGAAAGCCACAAAAAGAAAGAAAGATGGCAAAGCCAAAGGGAAACAAAGAATACAATCTAAAGGGGCTCCACTTTCTGTCACCAAAAGGCTGGGTAAGGAGTCAGGTCTTTGGAAATCTTTAAAGCAGGGGTCTCCCACCTTGGCAACTTAAAGACTTGTGGACTTCAACCGCCAGAGTTCCTCAGCCAGTGAAGCTCTGGGAGTTGAAGTCCACAAGTCTTAAAGTTGCCAAGGTTGGAGACCCCTGTTTTAAAACACCAGAAGACCAGAGTCATTTGAATTTGGGGAGGAATTTTATTCCAGGTGGAGGGCATTTCTGGAGAAGGCCAGTTTCTGGGAGCTAGAGAGATGTTATTGTTTAATCAAAGGAACATAGAGCACATAACCCTGCAGTATCAAATTGGTCAGGCAGATACTGTGGTGGTCCCTCAAGTACCTTTATGGGTAACAAGGAGCACTTTGAATTGCACCCAGAAAGAAAATGTCAACCGGTGCAGCTTGTGTAGCAGAAGTGTTACATGGGCATTCTGAGGCATGCCCATCACTGCCTATGCCAAGCATTTGGATGGTCTTCAAGGGCAATCCAGACACAGCACCTTGTAGCAGTCAAGCCATGAGATGATTACTTCTGTTTCTTTTTGAGGATCTCATCAAACCATCTTCATTCAGATCTATTGTTTTCCTCTCATTTTCACAGACATGTAACACACACCGCCTATGGACAGCCAATTCATCCTTGGACATCAAATACACTCAAACTTACTGCTGTTGCAAAGATGGGTCCAGATGATGTTTGTCACCCAGCTCTGGCTGGCCACCTGCCTTTTAACTGTAGAGTACTTAAAGAGCTCTTGCAGCCTCTGCTCTCTGACAAAGAGACAGAAGGAAGAAAGGCAGAGAAAAGGAGGGTGTGGCCTGCTCCCTTAGTTTTATTTGCCCTGAAAAGTGGACCCAGGAAGAAAGGTGCTACCTCTTTCCTTGCCCTCTCCTCTCTCTTCCTTTGGGGGCTGTGATGAAAGCCCAGATGAATGAGAAAATTCAGGGGCTGCTCCTTTACTGCCCTCCCAGAGAAAGCCTGTGAGTAGGCACCAACAGCAAGGAATAGCAAAGCAGGGCTGGCGTCCCCCTCTGCCCTGGGGCCAAGAAAGAAAAGCAAGTGGGCTCATTGAATAAGTTCCTGCCTTCCCTTGGTTCTGCGCTCCTCTGCCTTGGAGTAAAAATGGGACTTCAGGAGGAAGTTGGCAAATCCTGGGCTTTTCTTTTCCAACCTCAGCAGGAGATAAGTCAGAGACGGCTAGAGGAAACTTCTGTCTGGCTACTTCTCCTTAGCCCAATTCATCGCTTTCCCTTCAAAGTCATCAGAATGGAGCTGGAAGGAACCTTAGAGGTCTTGCAGTCCCAGCCTCCTGTTCAAGCAGGAGATCCTATATACCAGGCGTCGCCAACCTTTTGGACCTCAGGGACCACCAAACTCATAATTTTAAATCCCGTGGACCAGAGACCCCCAAAAAGTCTGCAGGAAAATTCCCCACCCTGTTTTCCTACCGATAAATCATTTTTTAATTTGGGATAGCAGGATACCATCTCCAACTCCATTCTCGGGTGGGGGGGGGGAGAAAGACTTTTGGCTTCCTGCAAGGAAAGCAGCAGAAGTAGCAGAAATCTTTCTTTCTCTCCCCCAACTCCACTAGAAATGAGTCTTTGCTGGCGCAGCCTCTTGGAGCAGGATGCCTTGCAGGATCCCAAAGACTCATTTCTGGCGGAGTTTGGGGGAGAGAAAGAAAGACTTTTGCTGCTTTCCTTGCATGCAGCCAAAAGCAGAAGAAAGAAGAGGAAAAAAGCAGCCCGGTGGCCAGGCAAGGCTCATGGGGGCGAGTGGGGCAAGTCCTCCCCCGCCCTTTCCCCCCTCCCCTCACTACCTCGTATTGTTCGCAATGCAAGCGACGCAAGCCTTGTGTTCCCGTGGGCCATGTGGGTGGCACAGCCTTGTGTTCCCGCGCAGCCTGGATTAATTGCTTTGGATTGCAGCCTGGATTAATTGCATTTCTCTGCAGACCACCAACATTTTTTCTTGGACCACCAGTGGTTCCCGGCCCACTGGTTGGCAACCACTGCTTTATATCATTCCAGATAAATGGCTGTTCAGTCTCTTCTTAAAAACCTCCAGTGATGAAGTACCCACAACTTCTGGAGGAAAGGTGTTCCACTGGTTAATTGTCCTCACCCTTAAGAAGTTTCTCCTAAATTCCAGGTTGCTTCTCTCCTTAGTTAGTTTCCATCCATTGTTTCTTTGGAAAAATAAATCGACCCCCTCCTCTTGGCGGCAGCCTCTCAAATGCTGGCTAAATAAAATAAAATAAAAATGTCAAAGTAGTCAAGTGAAGTCCCCTAATCCGGGACGTGTGCAACATCAGGGGCAGAGAGACGCCCCCACCGACCGGGCTTATGTATATCTTGTGGGCTATTGGTTTCGATGGGGACCGAAAGAGGGCACTGTGGCTTTAAGAGCGCCCGTAGCCAGGTTGTTACACCCCCCCCCCCGAGGCTGGAAAGGTGCTGCCGTCGGGGAGAGGCGCTCCCGTCCTTGTGCCCGTTCAGGCGAAACGGGGGCAGGGCAGGGCCACGTTCCCGATCGGAAATCAGGAAGAACCGAGCGAGGAGGCGCGAGATCTGGGATCCTTTCTCCTTGTTGCCTCAGAAGAAGCAACATGGCGTTTCCCCGGAGCGCTCGGGCTCCTTCTCCGGCCAGGGTAGGAGCCTCTCCTCCTCCTCCTCTTCCTCCTCCCAACGGACTGGCGCCCTAAAAAAAAAACAAAAAAACACCAAAACAACAACAGAAAGAAGCCAAGCCAGTTCCAGACATGTGAAGGCAAAGCTCCGGGGCGAGAAAGCGGCTTGCAAAGCTCCGCTCTTCGTCGAGTCCAGAAAGTGGGATTATTATTATTAATTATTATTAATTATT